ACACCCGCAGGGCGGGGGCTCTAAGCAGTGGGTGGCCCCCTTTCTACCGCCCTCCCTCCCCTAACACTCACCCGGAAGTGGTGCAGCCGCTTGTGCTCTCAAGAACCCCAAATCCTCCACGGCCCCTCCCTCCCTCCCCCCCAAACACGCTCCAAGTTGGTCCGCCGCGGAGAGAAGGCGGGAGCGCCGGAAACGAAAAAAGGGGGGGGAGGGAGGGAAATGGCAATGTTGGGGGGGCGGCAATGGGGAAGGGGGGGGTAAATGCAAAGGTCGAGTCACTTCCGGAAGCGATAGGGCATATCCGGCGCCGCTAGCGCCAGGAATACTTAGGCCGCAAGTTACGCCAAGGAGGGGCGGAAGTGGCTTCTGCCCATGGACCCGGTAGAACCCTTAGTGGATGTGACGCCGCAACGGAAGTGAAGGCGGGTTCTGCTAAGGGCAGAAGCGGAATCTTCAGAACTGCGGGCCTTGGGCTTCCGGAAGCGACTTTTGGGGAAGTGGGAGGGTGGGATCCCGACAGGTTCATGAATTATGCATCAAGGTACCAGCGGAGGTATGGATTTTAAAAGACTAGGGTCCCGTTTCCCTTCCCGCGGTCGGGGAATAGGTTGATACCGAAAGTTGCTGTTCTTTTTTTTCTTATACTCTACTCTCAAGAATTTCTCAATACTTTGAATATGCAAGTAAGGGCAGGCTCTGTCCGTTTTCCGAGGTTTCTACTTAGGCCCAAAGAGTAACTGATAACCTCTCACAGCCATCAAAATCCAACCCTTCCAGATCACACCCCTTAGTCTCTTTGCTTTGGCCTCTGCTACAGTCTTGTTGCCCTCCTCCACATCTCCGTCTCCTCACCCTCATCACTACCTGACATACTGTTTCCATCTGTTCCCATCAGAGCTGGGATTTAGTTAGTGATCAGTAAACGTTTATGAACACTTAATATGAACTCTTTCAGGAAGCCTTCCCTGATTGCTCCAACCCGTAATGGTCCCTATGTCTTAATTCCCACAGCATTTAGTCTGTATCTTTTGTTGCTCTTTTAACTATTTCATATATGTGATTCCTCAGCGAGCTTGTCAGCTCCTTGGAAGAAATTGTCTCATACATAGTATCCTTCCCACTGTTTTGCTTAGCATATAGAACATGCTAAATAACTATACATCAGTCCCCTTGTCCACAGGTTCGTTTTCCACTGTTTCTGTTACCTTGGTCAACCGTGGTCCAAAAACAGTAAATGGAAAGTTCCAGAAATAAACAATTCATAACTTTTAAATTATGTGCCATTCTTAACAGCATGATGAAATCTCCAGCCATCCTGCTGAAGGCTGAGTCTGGTAATGACTCATCCCTTTGTCCAGTGTCTCCAAGGTGTACACTGTCCCTGCCCGAGATACTTAGTAGCCATCTCAGTTATCAGATTGACTGTGGAGGTATTGCAGTGTTTGTGTTCAAGGAACCCTTATTTTACTTAATAATGGCCCCAACGCACAGCCATAGCGATGCTGGCAATTCAGATATGGCAACTGAAAAACCAGGAAGTGCTTCCTTTAAGTAAAAAGGTACCTGTCTATAGGAAAAAACATAGTATATATAGAGTTCAGACTATCTGAGGTTTCAGGCATCCCTTGGGGGTCTTAGAACTTACCCCCAGCAGATGAGGAGGCACTACTATATGTTATTTGATTAAATGAATACTGCCACCACCCTGCACCCTGACAGGGCCAGAGCAGCTGTTTTGACTGAAGCAGAATTGAAGCCCCTCCTACCAACAGTAACAGCCCCATGCTTACAGAGCAAAATAAACCTAGTAGAAATAACTATATTGCCTGTTTTATAATAATGAAAATGAGCCTGAAGATTTAAGTGATTTTCCCCAAGGCCACGGCAAGGAAGTAGTGAAGAACACCTAAAAATAAACATTTAAATTAAATGTTCAAGAAGATAACATGTTGCCCTGGCTGGTATAGCTCAGTGGATTGAGCTGTATCAGTGAATATATCAGTGGATATAGCTCAGTGGATTGCATGCCTGCAAACCAAAAGATCGCGGTTCAACTCCCAGTCAGGGCACATGCCTGGGTTGCAGACCAGTTCCCCAATGGGGAACACATGAGAGGCAACCACACATTGATGTTTCTCTCCCTCTCTCTTTCCCTTCCCTTCTAAAGATAAATAAATAAGAAAATTAAAAAAAAAGAAGATAATGTTTTTGGCTGATAATCGTTCATCTCTTTTTTTTTAATCCTCACCCTAAGATACATTTATGGATTTTAGGGAGGAAGGGAGACAGAGATTAACATCCACATGAGAAACATGATTGGTTGCCTCCTGATCAAACCCAAAACCTAGGTTATGTGCCCTTGGCCAGGGATTGAACCCACAAACTTTTTACCCACCCCAGACCACAGCTTGTTTGTATCTTTTTATTGTTTTAAGTATCTACTCTTTTTATCATATTTTTGGGCTCTGCGTTCAGTCTGTGTTAACCCAGTAGCAACAGCAGGTAGGATAAAGGTCTTAGGGGCTCAGATGGGACCAGACCCAGTTACTGCATGAGATGAAGAACCATGATTCAAGAAACCTTGATTTTGGGGGCTAAAGTAGAAAAATGGGAGCAAAATGGTAGTCATCACTGTAAGTCCTGGCTCTCCTCTAGTGCTTTTCCTCTTTACATTAACTGGCACTTCTGGGCCTCAGTGTCTCTGGCTGAATCCTGCTCCTGCCCTTGCCATAAGAAGCAAGTTTTAAGTTCCTTGAACTCCTTAGAGAATAGCTTTAGAGAGATAAATGTGGGGTGTAGGGGGAGGAGGGCTGTTAATTTTAGTCCGGGGCTTTCCAGCTGGCACACTGTTACCATCTTGAATCACTTCCACACCCGGAGCTCTGCCCAGGAGATCCCTCCTCCGGGGGGCTTCCCCATTCCCTGGTTTGGTCTGAGCCACAGTGGTAAGCATTCCAGGAAAATGTTTAAGAGAAGCCTGGCTGAGTCATTTGATACACAACTCAGGAGGCGAAGACAGTGCAATGCATAGTGATGAGAGAGACTGGTCCCGGTACTGTCTGTGATGTGTGGCCTCCAAAAACCAAGACAGTAGTATGGCCACTGTTTATGTTCTGGGTCTGTCACTGCAATGACTCTACACTCTACCACTTCCTTGCAGCTTTCCAAGGACCCCCAAGGCCCCAGTTTCAGTTTCAGCTCCAAGAGAGAAAAAGGTTAGGATCCATTCCCTGTGGCCTTAGGATGCTTTCCCGTTAGTGTGACTATGTGATTTAGTTCGGGGTAGTTCCTTTGGAAAACTCGGAAGACTAAGATGTCTCCTTTCTCCTCTGCCTCTCCCATCTGACTTTCCACGGACAGGAGGGCATTTAGGGAGAGGGAACAGGTGAGGATTTCCAGTGTCCTGCTGGTGTATTTTAATCTATTTAAATTTAGAGAAACAGCAGTCTAATCAGGCAATAATTAATTCCCTCTTCATTCGGGTCCTTCATGTGTGCCTTTTGCATATGGATGAGCTGCAGGGTCACACTGTCCCTTTGCAGACAGTTGCTGAAGGTGATAGAGCTGGGGTGTGCTCTCCAGGCACTTGAGCTCTTTCCCCTTCCCTCCCCCACCCAGGAGAAGGACTAGATTCCTGTGGGGAAAGAAGGGAAAGGTTACTGAGGCTTCTTCTCCTACCCTCCTGGATCCCTCCCTCACTGCCCCAACACTGCCCCCGCCAGTCAGCACCTCTTCCTGCACCCTCGGGTTCCATCCAGTCCACCAACTGCCCACTGGGGTCTCTTCAGGCCCCACTGGGTTGCTTTTGAGCTTTCCTCAGCAGCTTGTTTGCCTTGTACCTGTGCTTTTGGTTTGTTCATCACTCCCTAGCCTGGCTCTGCTTTTCTTCTGTAGCAGTCTGTCTTAGGAAGTCCGATGCCCCGAATGTATACACTGCTCTGGTCCTGAGAAATATGCCGCCTCCTCCCCACGCACCTTTGTGCGCTACATAGACTCAGCCATACTTCCCTGAGGACACAGTCAAGCGCTCCAACACCTAAAAACACACATCTACCAATCCGTGTACATTCCTGATTTGAGCTGCAAAGATAAACACAGGGAGGCGTCCACAGCCCAGGGCAGCCCAGGCTGCCTTTTCACACATTCCAGTCTCCTCTCCTCCCTGGAGCTCCCCATTTCCAGGGAGCAAGTGGGGCACAGATGGGGGTGGGGGGAGATATGAGACCTGGGTGGTTACCATGGCAACAGAGCCTAGCAACAGCTGAGAGGCTGATGTGTTCTGTGGGCTTTTGCAGGGCTGTTACCAGAGGCAAACCTAGAATTGAGAGCTCAGAGGTGACTGATCCCAGCTGGGCAGACTGGGTTCCCTCCCCAAAAACACACCCCTTGATTCCACCCCCATACCCTATCAGAGAACGCACAGCGGGGAAAGCTGATGAGTGTTAACCACAGAACTTCCAATGCTGCACACCTTTTGGGGGCCAACCGTGGGTGGGGGCAGTTAGGGAGCCTGGCTGAAAATAAACCAAGCAAGGCAGCCTCTTTCCCCTTGCTCCATTTTTCTCTTCTTTCATCCTTCACCCTCCATCTGTCTTATCAGTTCTCTCTTCCTTTTCTTGTTTGCTCCACTGCCCGTCCTTCTGTGGAATTTGCCCTTTTCTTCTGCCTTCTTTCACATGGTCTCTCTTGACCTTCACTGGCAAGTAACAGGCAAGCCACTCTTCCAGTTTCTCTTGCACTGGCTGCTCTTGCTCTGGACTGCTTCCTTAGTTTCTCTTCCTTCCATCTAGTCCTCAGGTGGAGTCCCTGAACCCAACTCCAGGTCAGAGCAGCACAGGGCACACTGAGTCTGGAGGGGCTCCTCTGCTCATCCTTCTCTTTCTCCCTCTTGGCTGCCCGTCACCTCACCTCCCGTCCATTCTGCAGGGCTCATAAGGCAGAACCAGGAGACTCAGGTATCTTGCAAAGGCTTTATTTGAAAATTTTGAAACTTACATCCCACAAGAATTCAGAGATTATCACCACAAGAAGAGATAATACAAAAATATATATCACAGCATAGGAGCCAGGTAAGAGAGGAATAAGGAAAGAAGGTGGAAAAAATTATGAGAAGTAGGGACAAACCTGGGGTCAGAGTGGGGGGCAAAAGGAGTGAGTGGAAGAACAAAGGAGGGAGGGAGGGAGGGAGAGATGTTAGGGAGCCCAGGAAGGGGGGGGCAGATTGGGAGGTAAAGCTCCCAATGGCCTTGAACCAACTGCCTGCAGTCCTTGCCAACCTCAGTGGAATCAGGAGGCACTGAGGGAGGCTGGGAAGAGGAAGACTGGCTCAGGGGGCTTTGAATTCCAGAGAGTGACACACACACACAGACAGCCAGGACAGATAAGACAAAAGGGACTTAGGAGGAAGGGAAGGGCAAATGGGAGCCCCTTTCTCATGTAGTGCAGCAGGTGACTCCCCAAAACCCATCTCCCAGACAACAGAATTTAGCAGTGGGGTGGGAAAAAGTGTGGGGCCTCACTACCTCCTTTCTTGTGGGGGAGCCCTCTGGGTAATGAGAGCGCCCATGGAGTGGGGTGATGAGGACAGTGAAGAACATGACACGGAGCAGGATGGGATCGAGACAGATGGGGGCACGAGGAGCTCCAGCTCACCTCCCACCAACCTCTGGGCAGCATGCAGGAGCCACAGAAACTGGGTCAGTGGGTGTCCATGAGATGGAGTGTGGACACGACTGCAACATCACAGCGTGGAGCCAGGACATACACGTGAGAGGAAATGCTGAAGTCGCCCACCGACCACTGAGTGACTGAGATGAACGTGGACTGCAGGGAGAGGAGAGTGTGAAAAACATGAAACAAAAGGAAGAATGTGAGGGGTCAGCAGAGGAGAGAGGTGGGTAGGGAGCAGGTGCAGAAGACTGGCTGCACAACAGCATGAGTGTGTGCAATGGCCCATGAGGGTGGAAGTGAGTGTGCAAGGCTTTCATGTGAGTGTGCAAGGGCAGGCATGGGGGACCAAAAACCACAAATATGGGAGGTCCCCACCTAAAGGAGGGTGAGCAGGTAGGACTGACTGTGGGGCCAGTGAGTGTTCCAGGGTGGAGGGCAAGGGCAGGGGCCAGGAGCACCTGCGGCCCAGGTCCCACAGCTGCCCCACCCTCAGTGGGGGCGGTGGCTATGCCGGCCCCTCGGCCTCCTGCTTGGTGGTACCCCAACATTGGTGGGCATCACAGATTCACCAGGGGAATCCTGAGAGGAAGAGGGAAAGGGTACAGTCAGGAAACAAGGGGTAAGTCAGAATCAAGAGGGGAATCCAAGACAAAGGGAATCAAGGTTAAGAGGGCAGAGCTGGAGTTAAATGGCAGCATGAGAATAGGACACAGATCCACAGAGAGGGGAGAGGGAAGGGTCGCCCCAGAAAGGAGAGGTCCAGACTCCTTGGGAGGGCCAGGAGCCAGGCTGGGAAGGAAAGCCACAGGCTCTGGGAGGGCCAGGCCTACCTCCTTCCCACCCGCCCGGGAAGGAGTACCCCAACCACAGTTCCAGAGACCTAAAGGGCCTCCCCTCCTCACCCTCCCATCTTTTTGCCCTGGCCCTCACCGGTTCAACTGGAAGGCTGGAGCCCCCTTGGGCTGGGGCATCCCAGGCCTGGGTCCCCCTCTGGGCTCCTCATGGTCAGGGGTGGGGGTGGGTGAGTCCCCGAAGGCCCCCAGCACAGTGACCCCGGCTGGGGACAGGTCTGTCAGTGGCTGCTGGCTCTCCTCCTGCCTCAGGGCACCTTGCTGTCCTGAGGGCCTGCGCCGCTTCTGGCTGCGGTCCCAGCTGGTGCACCATAAGGGAAGAGGTTCTTTCATGAATTTAGGAAGCCCCCGTCCTGTACCTGCAGGGCTGGTCACCCCCAGCCCCCCTCAGGCACCTCTAACACCCTACAGCAGAGAAACTGGCCTCTAAGACCATGTGTCCATAAAACCACCTCTCCTGCCCTGTCTCCCTGGGGCTCTGGGATCTAAACCATCCTCCCAACCTGCTCCAGATCCACAGAATAGTACTTCCTCCCCACCAACAGGGAGGGCCCTCCGGAATGGCCTTCTACCCCATGCATATCCAGAAGAACCATGTCTCTCCTCAGCATGTGCCTTGGCAGGTTTAGTTCTAGTTCAAAGTCAGCTAATGACCTGGACACTTTTGTCTAACGACTCTCTTAGTAGAGTGTGAAGAACTGAGTGACCCATTATTAAATGCACGCAGAGAAAGCTCCAGATTTGCTCCCTCCTTCCCAGGCAGCCCTAAGGAGGGGCTCTACAGACTGGGTCAGTTTTCTGTCTTCCTTCTCTGGAAGAAATGGGGACAAGGGATAACCACCAAAGCCCCTAGCGCACATAAATAATCCCCCACCTCTCCCATTATCCTTTTATTTCCCTGGGAGAAGGGATCTGCCCTGGTTTCCCATTGTCTGCCCCAACCCAAATCCTTAACTACCTTTCCCCAAGGTCTTGATTTAATCAACCACTTCCTATCCCACCCCCAGCAAAATTGATGCTCTTGCTCCTTCCCTCCTTCCAGCCAAACATTCAGCCCTTATCGGCCAGCACCCTCCTCGCCCCAGCTTACCAGAACTTGAAGATGATGCCAGTGGCCACAAGAACGATGATGATAGAGATGGTAATTGTGACATAGAGCTGGGGGTCCACACCTGGTTGGGGTGGGAAGAAAGTTTCAGGGAGGCTCAAGGTGGGAGGAGCCAGGAGGCAGTGGGAATGGAGCTGGGTTGCGGGTTCAGTAAGCTCGAGGAGGGCTTTCAATGGGAATCCATATTGCCCAGCTCTTTCTAAAGCACCCCCTTTATTCTGTCATCAGCTTTACCCAGAATTTTTAGCTCCTTTCCTCCCAAATCCTTCTCCACTTTCTCAAACCTGGATACATGTGATGAGGAGGCAGCTGCAAGGTCAGAGAGAACCTGCTTTTGTAAAGAAACCAGGGGGTGGAAACATCCATATCTGCCCCGGCATCACCCCCAAACTTCTGGCCCTGTCCCTGTACTCCAGGAACTGGGCTGTCACCCTGCGTTCCTGTTACCCATGGTGTTCCTCTGCATGGACTACTGTTTTCCAAGTTCGGTTCAAATGTCAGTTCTTGGAAAGTGTCCTGAGCCCCAGGCAGAAGAAGTCTCTTCCCTCTTTTCTTAAAAACATGCTGTACATGCCTCTACTAGTGCACTTATTACATTGACATCCCCAAGTATTTATGCATCTGTCTTCTCCTATGGACCTGAGCTTGGGGGCTCAGAGGCATCTTCACCCCTGCCTCCCGTGCCAGTACATTTGTGGAAGGAGCTTACAGACAAGGCCTCTCTTGCTGCCCTTTGGGTCTTTGACCAGCCTCCCCCACCCTCATATCCGTACCAGCCTCTCCCATTCCCACTCACCTTCCCCACGGCCCCCGAATAAGAATGGCCGCAGGGTGGCAGGTGACTCTCTAAGGATGAGCCCATCTCCATCACCCCGCATGGAGTCTGAATTGGGGTGTGGGGTAGCCAGCCCATGGGGGGCTGCAAAACCATAGTCCAGGGGCAGAAATCCAGGATTGGCAGAGTTGGGGTCCCCTCCGTCCTCTCGAGAAACTGTAGGGCCCCACACGATAGCCCAGGGGTACTGGGATGAGGGCGGCCCCTCTTCAAAGCCTGATGGGGTGGCTGGGGGAGCTGTGCCCAGCAGGACTTGCCGCCTAGATCTTGGGACTCGAGGGGATCGGCTTGGTGGCGGTGCCCGCTCCCACACACACACATGGCGTGGGGCAGAGGGGCCTCCTCGGGCACATGGGGGACGTGCTGGGGCTGGTGGGGTTCGAGGGGAGGAGGAGCCTTGAGCAGGCGGTGGGAGGGGCAGCAACAGCAGTGGCCAGAGAGGGAGGAGGTGGGACAGCAGCAGTGCAGGCCTGCAAAAAGGGAGAAAAAGAGGGTGAGACAGAAACCCGTCTTGGGCCTATATGTGGGGAGGACAGGCTCGTACCAGAGATCCCCAGCTGCCTCTCTCCAGGTCTCTCTGCAAAAGCAGGTGGGCCTTGGGAAGACAGCCTCAGTTTCTGTCTTCCTAGTGTCTAGCTCTTAGGATGGTGGGCCCTTGGTGGGCCTAGGGAGGAAAGGGCCAAGGCCCCAGGGAAAGTGGCTTCCAAGCTCCCGCTGCTGTGCCCAACTTACCACATCCTGGACTCCATGTTCAAGATCTTCCTCAGCTGTGACCCAGATTTCCAGCCTTTACTGGGAGAGAGAAGGGGTTGTCACATCCCTACCCTCCCTGCCCTGGGTACTTTCCCAGCTCATTCATCACCAATTCTACCACCATCTCCCCTCCCAGGCTGCTGGCTGCCAGCTATGCTGCTGCCACCCAGGATTCACTGCTGCTGAGCATCCTCTGGGGGGAAAACTCCCAGAGTGGCTCCCTGTCTAGACCCCAGCCCCTCTCTACCACTCCCCAGGTCACTGTTACCTCCGCACCCCAGGGTCTACTCTCACTTCTCAGGCTTCCTTCTCACTTCCTGCCCACAGCTCCAAGCTTTTCTTGAATCTTAATTTAGAGCAAAGAACCTTGTGATTCCTTGTGTACCTACCGCTAGGGAGGGAATCTGAGAGTGGGGGAGGGAAGAGGAAGTCAATCCGAGTGAGTCTGTGAATGTGTGTGTGGTGTGTGCGCAATGGAAGCATCCCAGTCTGCCCACCCCACTCGTAGTCCCAGGCATTTCCCTTATGATTGGCCCCAGGAATCTGCATCTTTAGAAGGGGAAGAGGAGATGGAGGGTTGGAAGGAAAGAGACAGAGAAAGAGAGAGATGAGTGGGAGAATATAATTTTTGCTCAATGTTTTTAATAAAGATTTTATTTATTTACTTTTAGAGAGAGAGAAAGAGAGGGAGAGAAACATCAGTGTGTAAGAGATCACATGCTCCCAACTGGGGACCTGGTCTATAACCAAGCATGTACCCTAACTGGGAATCAAATTGGTGACCTTTTGGTCCATAGGCCAGCACTCAATCTACTGAGCTACACCAGGAAGGGCTAATTTTTACTCAATGTTTAATCATCCGAAAGCATAGGTACCCTCTGAAGGGAGACAGAAATAGGGGGAGACCACCTCCTTAAGTGCAGATCTCCTGGGTAAAGAATCCTGGGAGAATCAGGATGGTTGGTTCTGAAGGAGGAAGGACATGTTTTCAGGGATGAGGGTTCTGGGTGGGGGGCAGTCTCCCCAGAGTGAATGAGGATATGACACCCTGCGTCCTCTGGATTCGAGGTCTAAATCTGTAAATACTCTCAGAGAATAACGGGAATATGATTGTAAAGTCTGAGGAAGGAAATGGGGAAGTGGGCAGTGGGCACAGATGTGAAGGGTTCATGAAGGACCCAGAAAGCAAAGGTGGGTTGGGAGTGAAAAGGGAGAAGGGTGAAGAGGAAGCCGGTACAGGGCACAGGGGGAGGGGCAGGAGTCAGTCCCCAAAGAGAACAAACGGGATGGTACAGAAGACTGGGAGCGTGGAGGATGCTGAAGGGAGAACAGGATGAATTAAAAAGGTCAGGGAGGAAAAGAGAGGGTGAAGGGGGTCACGGGAACAGGGGAAGAAGGGGGAAGGGCAGGAGAGGAAAGAAAAGGTCCAGGCAGGAAGGGAAGATGAGACGGGGAAGGGAGAAAAAGGTGGAGAAGAGCAGGGTTGAGGAGAAAGGAAATGGGAAAGGAAGGCGCATAATACCGTGGACAACACGAGAAGAGGAAGGGATGGGACTGAAGACTGGAACAGCAAAGATGGAGGAGTTGGAAATTGTTTCTTTTGATGTAAAGGGATGTGGAGCTACGGGAGGAGATAGGGATGGGGCACGGTGGGAAGAAGGGAGAGAGGGATGGGAAGGGAACGAAGCTGGAGGGAGGGAGTGTGGGAGCGAAGCAGTGAAGCGGAGAAGGGCTCACAGGGACATCTGTGGCCAGTTGACTCTGGGACCCACTTGCCTCTCCGCCTTGTGCATCACCCCTTCCCCCTGACATCAACTCCAGTCTCTGGACCCCAACCCCCTTTTGCTACCCCTTCCGGGAAGCCCGCAGTCCCCAGGCTGGCGCGCCACCCCCTCCCTCTCCTCTCGCCTCACGGACCTGTTGTGCGCAGGAAACAAGAGGGGGGTGGGGTGGGAACCTTGGGGTGGGGGATCCCGGCCCCATCTCCAGCGTTGCCCCAGCCCACCCTTCTCACGGGCTCGTGCTTCCCGCACGGGGCTGGGAAGCAGCGAGAGTGGGGGAGAAGACGAGGACCAGGAGGTCGGCGAAGGGATTCGGAGGGTGGGAGCACCCGAAGCAGACAGGGAGCCCAAAGCGGGAGGATGCCAGGAGCCTAAGCCTAAGGCAGGACGGAGGCAGCCGCGGGGACGGTGACCCACTGCGCTAGAAGGGCAGGATGGAGCTGGGAACGGAGGAGGGATGGAGAGCACAGCAGGGAAGGAGCACTTCTGGGCTGGAGGCTGGAGCTCGGGTGAGGGACCGCGCGGGGAGAGGTGGGGGCGAAAGGCTCGGAGGCGAAAGACTCGGAGTCCGGAAGGGCAGGGCCGGGCCCCTTCGGGTGGGGGCGTGGGGGTCCCCTTCACTCACCTGCAAGCCTGGCGCGGCGGCGCGGCAGCTGTGGGTGCTCACGGATGAGCGGGGCTGGGGGGTCGCGGGGGCAGGTGGGGCACGGGGCATGGTCAGGGGGGTTGGCCGGCAGCGAGGTGCTGGAGAGGGTGGGGGGCGGGCGCCTGGGGCGCGGGGCGGCGGCGGCGGTGGCAGCGGCGGGAGATGCTCCGCTCGGCTCGACTCGGCTCTGCTCGGCTCGCGCTGCGCTCGGCTCGGTGGGGCTCGGTGGGGCTCGGTGGGGCTCGGCGCGGCACCTCCAAGCGCTCGGTCTCCGCCTCTCCCCCTCCCGCCGGTAGGCCACAAGGTTTAACCCTCCGGCTGCCGCATCACGGGAGGCAGGCTCAGCTGTGTCCCAGGGTGGAAGGTTGGAGAGGGCGGCGGAGGGTGAGCGACCGTCTGATTCCCCGCGTTTTGATGGCGGGCTTCTCCACCCTGTCACCCCAACACCATGGTTACCTTAGGTAGTTTCTGAGATTCTGTGTCTCCAACTCTGCTTCATTCCTGGTGGAGAGTGAGGAGTGGGAGCAAGGTGGGGGTGGCAGCGAAGACCTCGCACCATCCTTGGATTATCCCAGTAACTGGATCCCCCGATTCTACTCTGACCCTGCTACAATGCATTGTCTCCAAAGCAACCTGATTATCTTTAAAATAAGTAGTTCAAGTCACATCACTCAGTTTATCTAGCACTCAGGTATCCAGACTACTGTGACTTACAAGGCCCTACATGACCGAGCCCCTGGGTAACTCTCTGATTTCTTTTCCTAACACTTATGCCCCAGCTACACTCTACCTGGTCTGTCTTTCCAGAGCTGGAGGTGCTTAACCGGCCACAAGGTCTTTGCACTTGATATTCCCTGTGCCTGGACCATTTTTACCCCTGGCTTTTACCAATGACTCACTCTTTTCATTAATATTTCACTCACATCCAATGTCACCTTTTACGAGGCCTTGTCTAACCTCTCTATCAAAAGTAGCTTCCCCTACCCCATGCTCACCCCATCCCGCCCCGGTCATCTCTGTCACAGCCTGGTTTTATTTGGGTTGTACTTCTAGGGCACCCACCGTACTCTCCTTGTTTCCTTCCAACCTCACTAGCTTTTCCTTCTCAGTCTTTTCTGCTCGACCTCTAAATGTTTGAGCTTCTGAGAACTTAGTCCTTGGCCCTCGTCTTCCACATTCTCTGTCCAGTGACGTCATCCAGTCCCAGGGCTTGAACACTATGTAAGTGTCAGAGAGTCCTAAATTTATATGCCGAGCTCCAGACTCATTTATCCAACAGCCTACTTGACATCGCCACTTGGATGCCTAATGGCCATGCAAAGCTAATGCAGTTGAAATGCATGTCTTGAGTTCTCTCCTGGCCAATTCGTTTCTCTCCCAGTATTCCCCACCCCACTTGTTCAGGGTAAAAACCTAGGAAATGTCCTTCTTCCCTTTCCCTTTTCTTACTAATTCCCACCCTGTATCTGCTTCACCAGCAAGTCCCATGAGCTCTGCATCTCAAATATATCCTGAATCCATCCACTTCTCTCCAGCTATGTTGCTCACATCCTCTCCAGACGAGACGATGGCTGGAATAGTGCAGTAGCTTCCCAGTCGTTCCCTCGAACCTGCCCTTGCCCTTTACAAACTTGTCTTCAGAATGCTCTTCCCTGCTTAAAATGTTTGAGTGCCTTTTCATTGTTCTTGGAATAAATCTGAACTCCTTGTTGGGAGAGGCCTTTTAGCTTGTATTCTTCCTCAATGTTCAAACAATGTTCCTGCCAATTGGATTGCTTGCTGTTCTAGAACACCCAAAATCATTCTCTTAGCACCCCTGCACTTTTGATTCCCTATTTCTAGAAGCTTTTGTGCCCCCTTCAGTCTCACTTTTACTAGATTGGCTCCTTCCTTCTCTCTAAACCACCCACTCTATTTCATCAATATGTTTTATTCTTTCCAACTCTTCTCACTCTCTGAAATGATCTCGTATTTGTTTACTGTTTACTGTCTGTCCCCCCACCCCACGTATACTAGAAGCAAAGATCTCATTTGTTTTTGTTCCCCTGTAATCTACTTCAGGACTTAGCATATATATGCTCAGTATTCATTGCTTAGTGAGCTTCACCTGGGACCCCTACCCACTGGAACTCTTCATTCTGTCCTCTGCCCTCCACCTGCCTTTCCTCTGTCTTCCTGGCCTCCCTGCTCTCTGCCCTGTGATCTGTGCACAGTGCTTCTGTGGCTGAGTCTGCTCACATCCACACCCCTCCAGTCGCCCTTCATCCCCTGCACTATTACTATCATTAGCCTTGCACTCCCGCCTCCCGGAAGGAAGCCTGCTGTTCTGATCAGCATCTGCAGTGGCTGCCCCCTACTTGTCTGTCCCTGACAGTCCTTCATTCTGAGGTCAGAACAGCAGGGAGTGAGCCATCCTCGTGTCTCCCAGTGGGAAACAGTGCACGTTGGATGTGAACTGGGCCGTGTGAGGCAGGGTGCACAAATCCCACCAAATCCTGGGCCTCAGTGAGTCTCAGTGCACCCTGAGGATGTGCAGGAAGAGGACTCATTATGTGACGGGCGTGGGTCATTTACTATCAGCGTAAGTGTCTTTTACACTGAGACCTTTGAGCCATTATCAATTATTTCTAGTATTTTTATTCATTCGTTCATTCAACACCTACTACATGCTGGGTACTAAACCAGGGCCTGGGGATACAGTGGAGAGCAAGGACAAAGCCATCCTGGTCTCCTGCGATTTAGACTCTAGTGAGGGAGACAATGAAATACAGTGATACATGAGTCTTTAGATAATTTGAGGACCTTCCCGCACTCCACGGTCCATAAATCCCCTGGGCCTGGCTCTGTGGTCTCTATCATCCATTATCTCTGGGCTCACTGAGGGGTGCCAGTCTTTGTCAGGGTAGACTTCTGTCTGCTTCCTGTCCTCTGATGTCCAGTGTCCTTCTGAACTCTTCTCACTCTCAGCTGATGATCTTGCTTTCTGCTTTTCTGAGAAAATAGAAGCAGACAGGATAGAACTTCCCACTTCCACCACCACGTCTCATCTGCACCACTCCTTCTAGGGGGAGATCCCAGGCCTTTTGAATCACCAGCGGCTTCACTCCAGGGACTGTCCCTCTCCCGCAGCATCGCTCCTCTCTGCTTGATGACTCCCAGCAGCCTGTTAAGCACGCTGTAATTTCTCACAGCTTAAAAAAAAGCCCTTCTCAGCTCCAGGTCCCCCTCCAGCCTCTGCCCTTCTCTGTTTACCTTCACAGGAAAACATCTCAGATGATGGTCTCCATTCACCACCTCTTCCACTTCTCCTCCCATTTCTTCTCTTTCTCTTTTATTAACTTAAACTATTTAATTTTTGTAATTCATTACATGAATGGGTAATACATTCACATGTGCAAAAAACAGTTTTCAATATTAAAATGTACAGAGTCCGGCAGAAGTAACACCTGCTTGAGTGTGGTTGGTAGGGTATAGTATGGATGTAATAATTTATAGTTTTAACTTGAACATTTCACCTAAAATATCATATGGTGTGCTTGAGTGTGCTATTGATATGTTACACAATCACATGCTCGTGATTTTGTAATAAAAATTTTTGTAATAAAGTAGGGGCGTTATTTGTGCCAGACCCTGGGTATAATGAAAGTTCCCATTCTCACCACCGCCCACCATCTTTCCTATCCCTGCACTCAGCATGACCGACTTCGGTGTATTCTTCCAGAGTTTCTTTATACATACACAAGCAAATAGAAATATACATTCTTTTTTTCCTTATCCTCACCCGAGGACATATTTTCATTGCTTTTTATTTTTTTAAATATCTTTTATTGATTATGCTATTACAGTTGTCCCATTTTTTCCCTCACCTTTATCTCTCCTCTGGCCTGCACCCTTCCACCAGCAATCCACCTCCCCTCAGTTCATGTCCATGGGTTGTATATATAAGTTCTTTGGCTTCTCCATTTCCTGTAATAGTCTTAACTTCCCTGTCTATTTTGTACCTACCACTTTTGCTTCTTATTCCCTGTACCTTTTCCCCCATTCTCCTCCTTCCTCCTCCCCACTGATAACCCTCCATGTGATCTCTATTTCTGTGCTTCTGTTCCTGTTCTAGTTGTTTGATTGGTTTGGTTTTTGGGGGTTTTTTTAGGTTCAGTTGTTGATAGTTGTGAGTTTGTTGTTATTTTACTGTTCCTATTTTTGATCATCTTCTTTTTCTTAGATAAAAATCTCTTTAACATTTTATATAATAAGGACTTGGTGATGATGAACTCCTTGAACTTGACCTTATCTGGGAATTACTTTATCTGCCCTTTCATTCTAAATGATAGCTTTACTGGATAGAGTCATCTTGGATGTAGGTCCTTGCCTTTCATTACTTCAAATACTTCTTTCCAGCCTCTTCTTGCCTGAAAGTTTTCTTTTGAGAAATCAGCTGATAATCTTATGGGAACTCCTTTGTAGGTAACTGTCTCCTTTTCTCTTGCTGCTTTTAAGATTCTCTCCTTATTTTGAATCTTGTATCATGTAATTATGATGTGCCTTGGTGTGTGCTTCCTTGGGTCCACCTTCTTTGGGATTCTCTGAGCTTCCTGGACTTCCTGGAAGTCTATTTCCTTTGCCAGATTGGGGAAGTTCTTCTTCATAATTTTTTCAAATAAGTTTTCAATTTCTTGTTCTTCCTCTTCTCCTCTGGCACCCCTATGATTTGGATGTTGGAATGTTTAAAGTTGTCCTGGAGATTGCTAAGCCTCTTCTCACTTTTTGAAATCTTATTTCTTTGTTCTGTTCTGGTTGAATGTCTATTTCTTCCTTCTGCTCCAAATTATTGGTTTAAGCCCTGGTTTCCTTCCCTTCACTATTGGTTCCCTGTATATTTTTCTTTATTTCGCTTTGTATAGCCCTCAGTTTTTCCTCTATTTTGTGACTATACTAAACCGTTTTTGTGACCATCCTGATTACCAGTGTTTTGTACGGTGCATCTGATAGGTTGTCTATCTCTTCATTGCTTAGTTTTATTTTTGGAGCTTTGATCTGTTCTTTAAAATATGACTTATTTGGGTCATATTTTTTGTCTTGGAGCACC